TGTCTATGGGCTTGTGTTGAAGGGGTTTTGATTGCGTCGGCAGGTTTTATAATACTTAACAAGTCTATTGTACTCCTGGATCAAAAAAAAAAAAAAGAAAGAAAGAAATGGGAGACTTTTAAAAGGTGCTGGAAAATCCAACCTCAGGAAACGCAACACATCATTTTACAGTAAAAAAAGCCAAAATTTTATTATACAACATTGTTAAGAAGTAGGGGATTCACACTCCTTAATAAATACAAGCAAAAAACATATACAATATGTTTATACAATATAAAATCAGCACCCCATTCACCCTCCTCATGGCAAGTATAGATAAACATAGATTATTATGAACCATTACATAATGATCAACCTTCAGAGATAGCCATAATGAGGTAGAGGTGTAGTGGTTCCAACGCGTTTCCCAGTCTAGGCTTCCTCAGGGGTTCAAAGGGGTACAGACTGAAAAAAGTACATCACAGATCCACTCCCAAACCAAAAGGAAAGGTGGGGAGGGAAGGAGATGCGAGAATGTATAGAAGACAGCCACAAAAGGGCGAACCTGGGAAACAATCAGGCAAGGAGTGGCTACTGACAGCCCTGATGCTGCAACAGGAGGCAAATGGAAGCTCAGCCTTCAGAGATGCGGATAATGGGGAGAGGACACACTTTGTTTCTCACTGGCAGGTTTTGGCTGTCCCTTGTATGGTGGACATTCAACAGCATGGTTGGGATCTTGTTTATTAATTAAAAACAAGGTTTTGTGGTGTGGGTTTGATATGATGTTTGACAAATATGGGTGTAACATGAAACATGGTCTTAAAAGTAGACTAAGCATTTAAAGTGTAACCATTTCTTTTTTTTGTTTAGGATACAGTGGGGAGGGATTAGAACACCTAGAAGTTTTGACTGCTGTCTGTGCCCCTGTAAGGGAGATTTACCTGCTCTATTTGTCCCATGTCCTGTTATCATTGAAAGTGAAAGAAAATCCAAAATTTTGGATTAACTTCAGAACAGTAATAAAGGTGAAATCTCCCAATGGGGACACTACTTCTGGTGACCCTGGTGTAAAAAAAAAAAAAAAAAAAAAAAAAACAGACAGGGGTTATAACCCTCCATTTACTATATGTAAAAGAACAAAGAAAAAAGTTTGGTGTTATTTAAGATTTAGGCCTTCTCAGGATAGAAAGGGAGAGGAAATCTACCCAACAAATAACCTGGAAGATTAACCGTATCCTGGAGATGACCCTGAACCATGTTAGTAAATATTGCATGACAAGATATTTCCTAAAACAAAGAATAAAGGTTTTAAGCCACATAGCTTTTTGCCATTCAAAATAATGTATTTTTCAGCAGAGATCTAATCTCATGTGTTGTATGACAATTTGACTGTGCTAAAGAGATATTTTAGCCAGAGGGAACTGGGGAAAAAAAAAATCTTTAAATCCCAATGGTGAGGGCTAATACCACAGTTCTCTCTTGGGCGCAACAGCCTCATGACGGCCTTAGGGAGATATTTTGTTTGACATGGTTAAGTACACTCCCTCTGCTCTCGGCTTTGTCACTGACAACATTTACACAGTGGTGTAAGAATGAGAACTCTGCAAATTGGTTGTGATTGCATCTAAAAGTATAAATCTTTGCTGGAAATAATAATGCATTTTTACACATTCTGTTAAATATGGAAATGTTTCCAATTGGAATAGCTAGGATCCCAAACTACAACTGTCATTTTGCAGTGGTGAATCCAATTTCTCTACTTGACCTATCTACATGCACTTTGCTGTTTATCAAGGAATTGAGCAACTATCATTTATTACAGGCCACAAAGAAGAACACCATACCAGGATATGAATAGCATGTGTGCGTTTTTTGTTTTATTTTTGTTTTTATTTATACAGACAGGAGAAGCTTTCCACATATTTTGCTCTCTGTCTTTGTCACGTTGGAAAAAAAAAATCAGTTGTGTAAAGAAATAAATAGCTCAAGGTAAAAGGTCACACAAAGCACAGAAAAACTCATTGCAGCGACTCATCTCCTACAGTTAGGTCCATATATATTTGGTCACAGGCACAATTTTAGGTTTTTTTTTTTTGTTTTTTTTTTTTTTTAGGTATTTACCAAAACATATTAAAGCTATAAAATGGATATGGGCTGAAAGTGCACACTCTCGGGTTTAATTTGAGGGATGTACATCCAAATTAGAGGAAGGGTTTAGGAATTACAGCTCTTAAGAGTAGCCATCCCCCTTTTTCAAGGGACCAAAAGAAATTGGACAACTGAATCAAAAGCTGTGGGCTACTCCTTCAATATTTCTTCATCAATTAAGCAGGTAAAAGGTCTGGAGTCAATTCTAAGTGTGGTATTTGCATTTGGAATCTATTGCTGTGAACCTACATCATCTGTTCAAAGGAGCTGTCCATGCAAGTGAAACAGGTCATTGTAAGGCTTCAAAAATGAAACAAATCCATCACAGAGATAGCAGCAACATTAGGAGTGGCCAAATCAACAGTTTGGTACGTTCTGAGGAAAGAAGAACACATTGGTGAGCTCAGCAACATAAAAAGGCATGGATGTCAACAGAAGAGAACAGTGGTGGATGATCGCAGGATCCTCTCTATGTAAATAAAAACCCATTCACAACATCCAGACAAGTGAAGGATACTCTTCAGAAGGTGGGCGTATCATTGTCAAAGTCTACAATCAAGAGAAGACTTCACAAGAGCAAATACAGAGGGTTCACCACAAGGTGAAAACCATTTATAAGCCTGAAGAATAGAAAAGGCATATTAGACTTTGCCAAAAACATCTAAAAAAGCCAGACCAGTTCTGGAAAAGCATTCTTTGGATGGATGAAACTAAGATTAATCTGTAGCAGAATGACGGGAAGAAAAAAGTGTGGAAAAGGCTTGGAACAGCTCATGATCCAAAGCAAACAACGTCATCGGTAAAACATGGTGGAGGCAGTGTGCTGGCATGGGCATGCATGGCTTCCAGTGGCACTGGGTCATTGGTGTTTACTGATGTGACAGAAGACAGAAGCAGCCAGATGAATTCTGCAGTGTTTACAGATATAGGGTCAGCCCAGATTCAACCAAATGCAGCAAAGTTGTTTCACAGTACAGATGGACAATGATCTAAAACACACTGCAAAAGCAACCCAGGAGCTTTTGAAGGAAAATATTCTGCAATGGCTGAGTCAATCACCTGATCACAACCCAATTGAGCATTAATTTCACTTGCTGAAGACAAAACTAAAGGCAGAAAGACCCACAAACAAAGAACAACTGAAGACAGCTGCAGTTAGAGCCTGGCAAAGCATCAGAAAGGAGGAAACCCAGTCTTTGGTAATGACCATGGGTTTCAGACTTCAGGCAGTCATTGCCAGTAAAGGATTCTCAACAAAATATTAAAAATGAACATTTTATTTATGATTATATTCATTTGTCCAATTACATTTGAGCCCCTGAAAATGGAGGGACTGTGTATAAAAATGGTTGCAGTTCCTAAAATTAGTACTTGATATTTATGTTCAACCCCATGAATTAAAGCTGAAAGTCTGCACAATTCAAATCCATTTGGATTGTTTCATTTTAATTTATTCTGGTGGCATACAGAGCCCAAAGTATGAACATTGTGCCTGTGTCCAAATATATATGGACCTAACTATTTTTTTTTTAACATATTCAGATATTTTTGATCGCATAGACTTCAGTGGGAATGCATATAAGAACCCATTGAAATATGAAGAAGGGTCAGCCACACACCGGAGGATAGATTATTATAGTGTGTATTTATTAATCCATAGGACACACAAAAACACCAGGACATGAATACAGGACCTGTTAACACGTTTCACACGATCTCGTGCTTAATCATAACATTATGATTAAGCACGAGATCGTGTGAATTGCATTAACAGGTCCTGTATTCAAGTCCTGGCATTGTTTCTCCTATGGATTAATAAATACACACTATATTAATCTATCCTCCATTGTGTGGTTGACCCTTCTTCCTATTGCATTGTTTGTGGTGGCGAGCCAGAGCCTGCACCTGTCGTGGATTGATCTGGACTGTTTGCCTGAGCGGTATACCTCTGTTCTTTGGATTAAGCACCCATTGAAACTTAAGTGTTTTTCTGCTCTTTTCTCTACACCTGACTACACCTAACTATGCAGAGTTCCATTCTTTCTAACTATAGTTGTTCACACTTGTATTCTCAGTCACCCTAAATTCAGAAAAGTGCATCAGCCTTTTTTTTTTTTTTTTTTTTTTATTCAGGCACTTTTGATCTCATAGACGTCAACAGGAATGCCTGTATATATGGTATACTCTGCTCAGGTGTAAATGCAGGCTAAATGTAGGCTAAACATACAATACAGTATGTTTTTGCATGTTTTTATGCATGGATTCCTCTGTTCCTATAGAAGTGCTCTCCTCTCCTTGCCCAGTTTAGGAAACAAACTCCTATAGCTTTATGCATGCAGAAAAACAGCTGGAAAACACTTGTAATGTGCATAAAAAACATCTGAAAAAAGAGCTTCAAACCACCAGGAAAAAACACACTGCTCAGATGTGAATGCAGGCTAAACTCACAATACGCATATTTTCTTGCACTTTTACGCATGAAAAATTCCTCTCTCCTCCCAAAAGGTACGCTCTCCTTCCCTTGCCCAGCCAGGAAAAAAACTCTAGAAGCTTCATATACATGGATAAACACCTGTAAACACACTTGAAAGACACCAGGAATATACTCTGCTCAGGTGTCAAAGCAGGCCTATAGTTTCCTTTAAAGGATAAGTTCACCTTTTTGACAAAAATAATAAATGCACATTTTTTTGCAGGTACAAATGTGCATTTATTATTATTGTCTGCAGTAGCCTGAAAAGCATTGCACCAGCGATCAGCAGATCGCTGATGTCATGCAGGTCTCCTGCAGACCTGTCAGAATATCTGCATTCTGTATGAGATGTATCGTCAAGCAGATATACTGGCAGGAAGCTTCAAGGAACTACCACGGCGCTCCACAGCACTGTGGTAGATCATTGAAATCTACAAGCTGACAGCTGGTGAGGCTGCCAGGACTTGTAGGCACCCGATCACAGAACTCTGAATGAGTGATGCGCAGGGGCGGACCAACAACTCATGGGGCCCCCGGGCAATAGGGGATCATGGGGCCCGTGTCCTTGCCCAAACTCAAAAAAGCCTATGAAAAAAAAGGTACCAGGGGCATCTCCTGGGACCCCCTACTGACCCCGGGCCCTCGGGCAGTGCCCGAGTTTCCAAATGGTCAGTCCGCCCCTGGTGATGCGGCTATGTGGATGGAGCCCTGCACAGCCGTGTAGTTTTCAAATCTGACAGATGGAAACCTGCCTGTTCCTGTACCCCCTTTAGATAATTATCAGTGCCCCACTGCAAGAGTAGTTTTGTTTTTTAATTTCTGATGTTGGGCTTTATATCTTTATATAGTGGTCTTTATATCAGAAAAATAAAGGGAAAACTGAAAAGTAATAAAAGACATAGAAATCTAATTGAAGATAAAGGTCAGTTGAAAGTTGTGTAAACAGCTAGAATATTGGAGCTGCAGCAATAGTCCGGTAGGTTGCAAATTTTCAATAGAGTCTCCAATGTTATTTACTGCAAGAACAGAGATTAAGTGGGATACATAATACAGGGAGCACATACAACATGAAATCAACTTTTGATTATAAAATTATTTCAATATAGAAGGAAACCAAAAATCTAGTGGAGTTACAAAACAAGAGTCTATACAAAACACTGTAAGGCTGAATTGTAGTCATGAATAATTAATATGAAACAAGAAACAGAGCTTACAATGAATTCTCCTGAAACTGATTTTAAGGAGTCCAAATTCCCTGCCAGTTATGACTCATTTATTTAACTGGTACAGTACATCACCACATCAAGCTGAACAAAAAGCGGCTACTGTAATGACAGAGCTTCAATTGTCATAACAACTGATATCATTACAAACCATGAACATGCAGCCTTGGTGTTAAATGTTGCATGGAACAGCAGTGAGACTATTTTAATAATTTTTATTGTAGTTTTAAAGAGGAATACAACCACAATATAATATGGCATAGTGGTAATAAATAACACAGGGAGTATCATATAACAGTTAACAAAGTTCAAATGTGTAATCAACAGCAAAGCTGTACAAAAATGTATGCTCTTTTTTGATTAGCTCCACAGAATACATTACATTTCCATATCTATCAGTGTTATGTATTTTATATCCCTGGATTATATACTTAGAACATAACAGAAAGGTATGCAGACACTGGTTGTTTCCATACATGTAAAGGAGATCAAGTCCAAAAGAACACAGAAGGAGAAAAGCATTAGGCTAGCATGAAGGAGTCAAGGAGGATAAAACGAACATCAAATAAGTAGCAAGGAATAAAGGGTAAAAGCAGAAGGACCTTCTTATGAGAAGTATTAAAGTAATTCTAAAAGTTAATTTTTTTTAAAATAATGAACATGTCATACCTACCTGCTCTGTGCAATACGTTTTCACAGATCAGCCCTCTTATCGGGTCCCCAGTCAGTGCTCCTAGCTCCCCCCCACCGAGTGCCCCTTGTAGCAAGCTGTTCACTCTTGAGCTGCCTCTATGTGTCCATAAGACTCACAAAACTCAGCTCAGCCCCCTCCACTCTTCACTGGCTGTGATTGATAGCAGCAGAACCCAATGGCTCCAGTTGCTGTTTCTAAGCTAATAAGATGTGAGAGAGCCAAGAGAGCTTCGGCTCTCATGCACATCGCTGGATTGGACTCAGCTGAGTATAAGTCAGGGGCTGGGACTCACAAAATGCATAAAAATAAAAAACCTGCTGCCTTTACAACCACTTTAAGGAGTGAAATATATGATTTTGGTAGCTATCGGGCCAGTGCTGAGTGCAAAATATCTAATTTGCAAGTGTTGCGTAACATCATGTTTAAGATGAATCACAAGAGATCAGCACACAAAGATCAAATATCTAGAATTGTCAGTATGCATAAATTAACAGATTAATTTGGCATTAGCAGCTGTATTTGGAAAGTTCTAAAATGAACAAAATATATTTTTTAAAAGAGAAAAGCAGTGTACAAAATGCTGCAAATCTAAAATCCTATAAACTGCCGTGGAATGTGGCCACCCTCTAACGGGAAGTTGAATCACAGCAGAAAAAAAAGTTTTGAGATTTGGAGGAGGCTGGGAGCAATAGAAGGGACTTTGCTGGGCAAAGAATATGCACTTGAACAGAATATTTAAAAAAACAAACAAACAAAAAAACAACAAAAAACGGGTTTAGTGCCAGGTTAAGCTTTAGAGCATAACAAGATAAAAAAAATGTTAACAGGATAAATACAAAGTCATTTCTTAGGGTTAATTGTTCCTCTGAGTAGGAAAAAAACAATAAATTACAACAAAGTATAATTCAGCTGACTTGTAATAAAGTTACTAGCTTTTATCTTCAAGCTATAATGACATGAGGCAATGATATATTCTAGAACATCTATGATTTACCTGAAAACCACTCAAAGAGATTGTTCACATTCATAAATTATGTATTCTAATCTACAGCAGTTTCCTATTCACTTTCTAGCATATCATTAGCTTCTGTGTGGCTTCAGCCCCCCGCCATACTCAAGTGGAAAAAAAAGCAAATCTTTATTTTGATTTTGAAGCTAACAGGTTCAGCATCCCACTGTCTTCCTACATCTCCCTGAAAATTCAATGATGGCATTTTTCATTTACTGAAAATGGCTCAGAATGCAGAAAGAGAATGGAAGCTACTGCAGCTGCAAGAGAGAGACTCTGAGGTTGTAGGAGTAGGGGTGGTTGGAGAGATCTCTGCTGCGGACTCCTTGTAATATTGCAGCGGTTTTGACTACCAGAATCTACAACAAAAATAGCTTCATGACTCACACTGTCTGTGTTTGGGGACACGCACCCGCACCCACACAGATGTAAAACTGGGAGCAGTGGCTGTGTCCATGCAGTCACTGCATCCCAACTGACATGAATAGAACTACCTACATGTGGATGCAAAACACCTTTGCATCCCATGCAGGCAAACACTGCCCTTTGCATGGGTGTAAGATTAAGTAGGCCCGTGTGAACAAGGCCTTATTATGAGACCACCAGCTATAACGATTTCATGCGCAGGAAAGTTAGCGAGGTCATCGGTGAGTTAAATTGTATATTGCAAGTACAGAAGCACACAGATTGATCCTGCCAGAAATCCAGAGTTAACTTTTTGTAGTGGTTTACAACACTGCCTCTGCTGCACTAAAATCCAAAGCAGTGTTGTCAACCCTACCTTTGGTGCTCCTGCTGGACTACGGAACAAGGGCTGCCAACACTGCTTGGAGTTTCAGTTATTTCTGTACCTGCATTTTTCTTTCAAGGCAAAACGTGTGCACACTGGGGTTGATTTACTAAAACTGGAGAGTGCAAAATCTGGTGCTGCTGTGCATGGTACCTGAAAACCTGAAAAAGCTGCACCAGATTTTTCACTCTCCAGATTTAGTAAATCAACCCCATTCTTGTTATTCATTGTACTGAATATTTCATTATTATTGGTAATATTATTATTTTGCCCAGTCATACAACTTTAGGGCTCGTTCACACCATTGAGTTGCAGGGTATAGAAATGAATGAATCATCACTGTGGGGTTTATTTACTAAAGCTGGTTCACTCAGAATCTGGTGCAGCAATGCATGGTAGCCAATCAGCTTCTAACCTCAGCTTGTTCAATTAAGGTTTAGCAATAAAACCAGTAAGCTGATTGGTTTCCATGCAGAAATGCGTGAGATTACGAGTGAACCAGCTCTTGTAAATAAACCCCCGTGTGCCATTTCAATAAAGTTAAGATGAAAACTTTAGAAGAAAAAAAAACAAAAAAAAACCCCATAAAAATGTAAAACACTGCCCTACATTATAAAAATACAAGGTGTCGCACCCTGAGGCTCCATGCACACTAGCGTTTTTTAAGATGGGAAAAATGCTGGATAAAAAAAAAAAACCGCTGGTAGTAGCTTTTTAGTAGTGTTCAGAAGTGTATAGGAGCATTAGATTATCGTTTTTACAATACATGTAGAGGAAAAATAAAACAAGCTAGAAAATAGCGGTTATAAATGTTTTAGTAGCATTTAGCAGTTTTTTTTCTGCTGGAAAAACGCTCCAAAAAACTCTACAAAAACAATTTTTTTCTGCTTCTAGATGCTGAAGCTCAAGAAATGGTAATAGCCTAAAGTAGTGTGGATGGACACATAGGATAACACTATTTAGCTTCTGGGAGCAGAAAAAAAAAAATCTGCTGATAATAGCTTCTAGGAGGTTAAAAAAATGCCAATGTGCATAGAGCCTGAAGCTTACACCAGACCACATAGGTAAGCAGATTGTTTTCTTGTGCAGGTAGTGTGAGGGAGCCCAAGACATGTTTTCTGAGGGAAATGTGGAGGCTGCCAGTTCCATATTCTACAATTCCCATGCTGAACTTCTGAATTTGTTTTTTGAGCACTGTAACTGGTCCAGAACAAGTATGCAGTTGAGAGCGTTTACCTAAAAGGACCCCGTCAACCTATTGTGTTGCAAAAAACTATGTTTTTTTTACTGTGCATTGCAATAACACACAGCATATGAACCATCTCAGCCATGCACTATAATAAGATGTTGCATGGACATCCAAAGGGAGGGCCTAACCTAAATGATACACAATACAAACAAAAGATTTAGGCTGGCCTGCAGGCCCTGGCTTTACTTCCAAACCACCCAACCCTACTTGCAAATCATGGACCAAAATCCACTACCTCGGACCCAATGAACATAGGTGTCCTTTTATGAAACTGAGATCAGCAGCGATCCTAAGGATCATTGCTGATCTCAGATCATTAGTGGTTTAGGGAACAGAGATGATCAGTGGAGAACATGTTCTCGGCTGATCATCTCAACACACTGACGGCCAGTGTATGAAGGAGCGATGTCAGCCCTTCACTGGTGATCTGTGTGAAAATTCTCCCTCCAGATTCTCCAGCCCAGAGGTGGAGAATCAGGGAGACCGCAAACGAAGCACCGGTAATTCACCGCTGCTCAGAAAACGGTGTTTGACTGATCTCTTACTGTTATCTCGCAAGATTACAGTAACAGCAGCCATTTTCTAGCGTTCAGAGCGTTTGTAGATCACTTCTCTCCTCATTAGGAGAAGTGATCTACACCGCTTCATGAACAGGCATTCAGAGGAGAACTGTCTGAGAATGCTAGAGAACTGAGCAGTGGTCATATACCGCTGCATGATAAAAAGGACAGCAACGTTTGAAGGCCTAATCATCAAGCTACAACCAAATGGTTCCATCTGCACTATTTACTGTGTGTTGATACACGCGCCATATTGAAGGCCATTCCCCTGGTGAACAGTACCTTTATCTCCCTTCCATTATTTCCCAATATCTCCCCACCCCCCTCCTTTGCAGGACACCAGTTAACACACTTTTTTTTCACACCCTCCCCCTACCTTCCTTATAATCCCCCTCTAAGTCAGGCTTGCCATAATAGTCACTACAAATGTAATTCTATTTAGGATACATTCTTGAAGGCCATTCCCCTGGTGAACAGTACCTTTATCTCCCTTCCATTATTTCCCAATATCGCCCCACCCCCCTCCTTTGCAGGACACCAGTAAACACGCTTTTTTTTTCACACCCTCCCCCTACCTTCTTTATAATCCCCCTCTAAGTCAGGCTTGCCATAATAGCCACTACAAATGTAATACTATTTAGGATACATTCCTCATCACATCCTACTGAATCATATCTTATGACCTGATTATCTAGTATTTATACAAAGTTACCTTTATACATACAAAGTTGTATTTATACAAAGTTGCTCTATTGCAATGCATGGTCTTCATGTTATTTGCTCTTCTTTGACAATTTATGGAAAATGTCGCTTCATTTTTATGTAAACCCGTATACACTCAAATTGTTGGAATTACCTGTGACAGCATAAAGAAAAAAAAAAAAAAAAAAAAAAAAGGAAATGCTGCATGTCTGTGAAAATATGCATTATGGTCTCTTGGCGGCCTATGTAAAACATGGATGTGGCTGAGAAGGCAGTAATGTGTTTATGCACTGCAACAGGCCCTAAATGACTTGCTTTTCAGACCTGATGTAACGTTCCCCCGCCAGCCTTCTCCACACGCTACTCCTACCTGACTGCTCCTTGTACTCTTATCAACTAAGTCAATATTTTGATGCTTATTATAAAATACACATATGCTGAAAAAAGTTATACATCCACACTAAGCATAGGAAGAGATACCAAGGCAGCTGTAAGCAGCCATATGAATGTCTAACAGATATGTTATAAAGAATAAACAGAGGGAAAATAAAAAATGAAGTGTCATGTGAATTTTCCTAAAATATCAGAGAAAATGAGTACTGTCTGTAATACTTACGTTTTTCTGGCACTGACATTTACATCTCCAGAACAAGCTTCTGGGATGTCCCCTTCTCAGTCCAAGCAGTACAGATGCACAAGGCTTCAAATAACAGCCTATTCTTTCTAGAAGTGTTCAACAGTGTGCATACTAGACAAGACATTACAGTCTATTAGACACAGCATGATTGCATTGTAGAAGAAAGAAGTACTTCAGTCTAAGTGAACACGCCCACCTTGCACAAAAGGAGTCTCATACAGATAATACATCTGTTCAGCTTCAGAGCTGCTTGGGTGGAGAGCACAGGGTTGCGTCTCACACATTATGTTATTTTTACAGATGCATAATGACCTGTTTTTTTAAGGCATAAAATGGGAAACTTGCAACAAAAAAGGGGGATTTGAAAAGAGATTCACAGAAAGTGGTTACATTATGGACAGAATGCAATACTCAAAATAATTCCAAAAATTATGCTTTATTAAACACAGTACAAATGTGGACAAATGAGGCAAATACCTCAGTTCACCATCACCTCAGTAAGAGAGAATACATAGACAGACCTTAAAAACATATAAAATTGTACATCAAGACCGGTCTAAAGTAGTAAGGTGCTGCAGATATAGTGACAATGGTCTATTACATTTGCAGCACCGACACATAGGTTACACTGCCAAACAGGAGGTATATCAAAAAATTGTACCAATATCGATATGGCATGCAGTGCAATAATGGCTAGTACCAAGTAATAAAGATGATTGCCCATGGACCAAATTAGGTAATGTGGGCTAAAAATACATAGAAATATATGGAGAGGGATGCGGTAAATGGGAAACTTATCTGCAGAGTATGAAAAAAAAAAACGTCCAAGTGACTTGGTTCCTGATCTCGGTTGGTTCCAGGCCAACACAAAAACCCAATACTGCTTTATTGAAGATAACACCTCTACTCCCTACCAAAATATAACAAAACATGGTGACAGCCACCAGGAGTGGCCCCAAGCAGACTAGCCTCATAAATATACCTCCTCTACTCAAAAATGATGCCTCCCATACCCCTGGAACCCTTGGTTAGCTGCCCTAAGATTAACAGCAGTTTGATGCTTTCACCCCAAACAGACGGAGCATGTTGGAAGGTTGCACTGCTCTTGCAGGAGTAACTATCTCCTGAGTTATGCCACCAAACACTCACATGTGGAGACCTCAAGAGAGAAGCAACACCTCCATGTTAGTAAAATAACATAAGTGAAAACAGTGCCAAAAAAATTTAAATGATATTATTGTGTTATATTCAAGCTGCTAAACCTCACCCTCTAACAAAGGTAATAGTATAAATCAGAAAAAAAAGGTAGCGCCAAAATAAATCAACCCTTATTTGTGATAGTGATAACGCCTCCATGTTGTCTAGAGAGAAATCAGCTGCAAACTGCATATAATCAGGGCATGCATCCTACGGGGCATGCATTTCACTGAATATCTTACAAGCATATCCAAACAGTGGCTAAATAGTTAGCACTTCCGCCTGTCAATACTAGAGTCATTGGTTCAAATCCCAGCCACAGCACCACCTGACTGGAGTTTGCATGTTCTCCCTGTAACTGTGTGGGTTTCCTCCGAGTACTTCAGCTTCCTCTCACACACTAAAGATATGCTAGTAGGTTAATTGGATCCTGTCTAAATTTACCCTAGTCTGTGTATGAATGTAAGTTAGGGACCTTAGATTGCATGCCCCTTGAGGGTTAGGGACTGATGTGAATGTACAATATATATGTAAAGTGCTGCGTAAATTGACAGTGCTATATAAGTACCTGAAATAAACAGTACAAAAAAACTGGACTCAACAACAACTTTGACTTGCAGCTTGATCATAAAGGCACAAAGATCATGATTCAGCTAAGTAATATGATACCTAAATAAGTCGCAGAACTGAGTTTAAAGTGTTACTAAACCCACAACAGTAAAATCAGTCTGTACATGCGTAAAGCATGCTTGTTATACTCACTATGGAACCTAAGGGGTTAATCCTATGCAGTGTGTAAAAACGCAGTTTCATCCTGTCTCCTCTGATCCTCCCCTTCTTCCAGTGCCCCCCTCTCATCTCCTGATAAGACATATCATGTGGAGACACTCTGCACATGTTCAGTTTGGTGTGTATTGCTAGAGTGTTTTTTTTTTCTCTTTTGAAGGTGTATGTGATCAGCACAGGGCCAATTATCCAGACAGAGGTTAGGGGTTCTGCATCCTCCTAGAGCAGAAAGAAAACTCCTCCTACAAGCTTTAACCAGTGATCTGCTGAACACTGATAGTCACAAGACTGCTCTAACTGCTGATGAGAATGTGTACTGTGGGAGACCAGATGCAGTGAATGCAGGGTCCTGGGTTTAGTAACACTTTAAATTTAAAATTCCATTCAGGACACTATCTACATGGAGTTTGCATGTTCTCCCTGTGCTACTGTGGGTTTCTCTGATACTCCAAAGACATGCAAGAAGTTACCCGACTGTCTATAACTGACCCTAGTATGTGTGTGCATGTATGTACGCTAGTGAGATAGGGACCATAAATTGCAAGCTACCTAGGGGTACGGCTGATGTGAGTTTACAGCATGGAAAGCACTGCGTAAAATTGCCGGTGCTATATAAAGATCTGAAATAAATAAGTAAAAACCCACGTGTGTTCACTCCTACTAGTCTTCTTCTATCTTACCCAGAAAATCTAAAGTTCTGGTCCCAGAATCCAACATGATGCTTTCCTTAATCTGCCCCATATGAACAACTCCTTGTTTTTGTGGAGACTTAAGCAGCTCTAATACAACTCCTGGCAAAAAGTATAGAATCACCACTCTTGGAATATGTTCATTCATTTGTTAATTGTGTAGAAAAAAAAAAATCAATCAATCACAGACTTGCCTCAAAACTATTTTCATTTAACCTTCTGGCTTTAAGAAACACTTAAAAAATAAAAAAGAAAGAAAACTGTAGTCAATTGTAACTGTTTTTGCAGACCATGCAGAGGAAAAAAATATGGAATCACTCAATTCTGAGGAAAATATTATGGAATCACCATGTACTTTGAAGTTCTTAAAAACAAACATCTGCATCAGATTACATCTGATAATTAGTCTGCAGTTAAAAAAAAAAAAAAAAAAAAAAAAAAAAAGGAGTGCTTGCACACCATGGTGAGCTGTTGCACCAAGTTGCTTGACATGGATCATGGCTCCAACACAAAAGATGTCAGTTGAAACAAAGCAGAGGATTATAAAACTTCAAGAAGGTAAATCATCACAGAAAGATGTTGGTTGTTTCCAGTCAGCTGTGTCTAAAATCTGGATCATGTACAAATTAAATAAGAAGGCTGTAAAAGGTAAGCGTACTGGTAGACCAAGGAAGACATCAAAGCGTAATGATAGAAAACTTAAAGCAATATGCCTTGAAAACAGAAAATGCACAGCAAAATAAATGAGGAACAAATGGGCAGAAACTGGAGTCAATGTCTGTGACCGAACTGCAAGATATCGCCTAAAGGAAATGAGATTTACATACAGAAAAGTCAAATGAAAACCATCATTAACATCTAAACAGAAAAAAAAACAAGGTTACAGTGGGCTAAAGAAAAGCAATCATGGACAGTGGATGACTGGATGAAAGTGATATTCAGTGATGAATCACGAATCTGCATTGGACAGGGTGATCATGCTGGAAATTGTGTTTGGTGCCATTCCAATGAAATGTATAAAGATGACTGCCTGAAGAAAACATGCAAATTTCCACAATCATTGATGATATGGGGTTGCATGTCAGGTAAAGGTACGGGGGAGATGACAGTCATTAAATCTTCCATAAATGCACAAGTTTATATGGAGATTTTTGACACTTTTCTTATTCCATCAATTGAAAGGATGTTCGGTGATGACACCATTTTTCAGGATGATAATGCAAAAGCCGTGAAAACTTTCCTTCAAGAAGGACATATAGGGGTTTATTTACTAAAGCTGGAGAGTCCAAAATCAGACTCCCTTCTGCATAGAAACCAATCAGCTTCTAACCTCAGCTTGTTCAATGAAGCTTTGGCAATGAAACCTGGAAGCTGATCGGTTTCTATGCAGAAGGGAGTCTGATTTTGGACTCTCCAGCTTTAGTAAATAAACCCCACAACGTCAATGGCATGGCCTGCAAATAGTCCGGACCTCAATCCAATTGAAAATCTGTGGTGGAAATTAAAGAAAATGGTCCATGACAAGACTTGAACCTCAGAGCTTATTTGGCACCAGCAATAAGAGAAAGTTGGAGCCAGATTGATGAATAATACTGTATGCCAATAGTTAAATCCAAGCCTCAGAGAATTCAACCTGTGATAAAAGCCAGAAATGGTGCAACAAAATACTAGTAGTGCACTGTGGTGTTTTTTTTTCATGATTCCATAATATTTTCCTCAGAATTGAGTGATTCCATATCGTTTTCCTTTGCTTGATCTGCAAAAACAGTTGCAATGGACTAGTTTTCTTTTTTTCTTTTTTTTTTAAGTGTTTCTTAAAGCCAGAAGGTTGGAATGTTAAATGAAAATAGTTTTGAGACATGTCTGTGATTAGTTTTTTTATTCTACACAAATAATTGAATGAACATTTTCCAAGAGTGGAGATTCCATACTTTTTGCCAGGGGTTGTAGAAAGGGGTAGTAGAATTCTTTTAAACAGGAACGTATACAGGGTGCCAGAATATTATTAGTACTATTAATATTTTTGCAGTATTCGGTACATGCATACATAAGATTTTTATTTAGTAATTTAGAAATACATTTTAGGCACAGGTTTATGTAATCAAACTGGCCAACTCTTCTCACCTGTGCCTTGTGGGTTAATATATATTTAAAACCACAGATCAGCATTTGTGCCCTGTCACTAGTTTTGTTGCAGACTCATTCGGATAATGTGATATTCTTACCCAGAAGAGGAGATTAAAATTGGATTTCTTTAGATGCTGGTCAGCACTACAGTCAGAGAGAAGCAATGTACACTGTCCAGTAAGCTGCTTTGTGGAGCTGGAGATGACGGTGCCATCTGCTAGGAGCACAAGTCAGGGTGGTACACTGTACAGCAATAAACAAGCTGTATAAAACAAACTGATCACTCCAATTAACTTATATCTGAAGCTACAGCCATCCCATCATGATGTCTTGAGATATCCTACATCTATGTAGAAGCTATTTGTTTGTTCAGGGTAAAACACCAACTATTGCAGTTCTGGACTTATTAAAAATAATGTAAATGTATTTGCACCAAGTGTAAGTGGCTAAATGTGGCTTTACTTCAGCCTTCTTTTCTCACAGTTGAAGAAGAGGGGGCAGTGGTAAGAAGCCAGAACAAAGACAGGAGGAGAGATCAGAGTGATGATTTCATCAGGATTTTACTGATTCTTCACTATTTAGCCCCAAAACTTTTTTGAGCCTCAGGAATTTGGCTTCAGGTGACTTAGAGTGGAGATATGAACCAACTCCAAAGAGAACTGATTTTTCTTCTCCCTGAGCATTTTGGAGCTTGAAGCTCCAAAACGCTCAGGTATGAATGGGACCTTAGTCATAAACTGGAGGCAGGAAGGTAACCAAGCTCAATGCCTAAATGCAATTAAGAAAAGAGTTTACCAACCAGCACAACTACCTTTTTAAATTTCATAACTGGTTTAATAGAATCATTAATCCTTTTGCAGGTAAAATATCTTCCATATACAGTATGTATTTCAACTGTGTACTTAGTTTGCTTAGTGTTCAGTCTGAAAGCGGAACTAAACTACAAGATTAATGTAAATATTTTGGGCCCCCAGGAGGTTGCTGTCATAATGTGTGTGCATGCCAAGCAAATTTTCACATTATAGCTCTCTTACCTAGGAAAGCACTCTTTTCCAGCAATATGATGTCAGTGTGCCCCCCCCCCCACGGCTTCATCTTCTCCGAATATTTTTCTATTTTCAGAATCTCTTGGTTGACAAGGTCTGGATGGCACAACACCTGCCCATGCTCATGAGGGTTACTTTGTATTAACACACAATTGTGCCAAGATTGTACACCGAGCTGCATGCTCATGGTACAGTGCACACTTTTAAAAAAGTGCTGACAGGCTGGTAGAAGCTTCAATCGCAGAAAAGACATATGCAATGGGGGGGATTTACTAAAACAGGTGCACTCAGAATCTGGTGCACCTTTGCATGGTAGACAATCATCTTCTAACTTCAGCTTGTTCAATTAAGTTTTGACAGTCAAACCTGGAAGCGGATTGTTTTCTATGCAGAGCTGCACCAGATTATGCACCATGCAGTTTTAGTAAATTAATCCCAGTCTGGTGTAAAAAGTGCAAACAGGCTGCTTTTTTGACAAGTACCAATCACAACAAGGCGACTATACTCTTTACGAGTTCCTTCCTTTATTTTCTTTATCAAAAGAGAAAACAGTAGCATCATAAGACTCTTTCTGGACTTTATAATGGCCATAGAAGGAAATAGGTCAGGAAAACTTTTCATCAAACTCTATTTTTATATAAAGGTTAAACATGCCACAAAAACCAACCCATCTGACACTACATTAACTCTACTCCCAACTAAGTTATTGTCCAATACTATACAAGAATATAATCCAATGTGAACAAAGCAGCTTTGGATATTACCGTGTACTAACAACTGATATTGCAGTTATTGGTGGGCTCTGGCTTTATATATTTAGATCCCAAGCGATATCCCATATTCGAAATTCTAATATAAACCGAAAGACTCCCTTGAAAGGCCAAAACAGCTGGACAGAACTGGGTAGTTAGGTGTAAGATCACATTGCTTAAGTCACCAAAAAGATATATAAAATTTAGAAGAGGATTCGGCCACCTAACCTAGTCACAAAAACAAAAAATCCATTCAATGGACTGACCCTTTAAAGCACAGGATAAATGTGTACAACCAAATATGGCACAGACTGAACAGAGTAATTGGAAAAATAAAACATACCGGAGTGACATATTCTCTAATTTCACATTGATTTTACACTGAACAAAAACAGCCTATCTGTGGTTTTCAATACAAATAGCCTTGAGAATCTATAAATATATGGACATTCTATTGTTTTCTTCACAAGACTCCCAAGTGAACCTTTTGAAACCCTAGAGGCTATGATGTTAAAGGTATTTTAGTGTTAAAGTGTTTGTACTACAAATTCA